CAAGCATAAGATGCCACCTGCTGGCAAACTTGTAGAGCATCCAGCTCGGGTTCGGGAGATCTGGAGCGCCAGGAAGTTATTTAGGGTCCCGTTGGCAAAGGCTGGAGTAGGGGGTCGTGGTTCTGTCAAAAATCAGGGTCATCCCAGGAAAACACACCAGGCAGAACCCCGCCCCAAGATTCGCAGTGCTCATGCCAGCTGAGAGACTATGACTGGGCTCGCTGGTGCGACAGCACCCCCTGCTGCTCTTGGGTGGTGCTGCAATGCCTGTCCTCAGTTTTCCTTCTCCCCAGAGCTCCTCAATACACGATCAAGGCCTGTCAGGGGACTAGATTGTTCCTATGGAGCAATCAAAAAACAACCTCTCTCTGCTCAGCTCAACACAGCCTCTGAGGCTGCTCCCTTGCTTGCCCACCCCCAAAAATCTGCCAGGCTGCTCCTCGAAGGCTCACCAGCCTGCTTCTCTCCAAGCCCGGCCAGCCCTCCCTCTTGGGCTGAGTTCTCAACTCTGCTTCCTAGCTGCCTCCTTCCCAGTTGAGACCAATGAGGATCCCTAAATCTCCTGCCCTTGTCACTAGCCCTGGGCAGGGCTGAGCCCCGCTTGCCTCCAGGGGCCAGCCAGCCAGGGTCAAGGCCGTCTCGTAGCCAGAGCGCAAACAGATCAGCCTGGTGCCGATTATGCCCAGTTCTGCACCGGCGGGAGGGGCCTGCACAGCTGCCAGCAGTTCCCACCGCTACGCGGGAACTACAACCTTGCCCGGTTCATTTCAGACCCACGGGACGGGAGAGAAAGACCCAGGTGCGAACACGCTGCCTTGCTCTCCGAGTGACAGCGCCACCTCCTGACACGCAGCGTGACCAGCAGCCAGCTGCTCTCGGGGAGAGGAGATATGCGGGCGAGGCTGGTGCTTAACGCAGGAGATCCACATTCAAACTCAGGCTCGAGGGGACTTTGGGCAAGCTGCTTAGCCTCCCCGAGCCATCAGTTGGGCTGCGAAAAGGAGACTTTTCTACCTCTGCAGGGAGCAGTGAGGCTGAACCGGCAGCCTCTGCAAAGTGCCCTGAGATGCTGGAGTGAGACAGGACAGGAGAGCCCTCTCTGCAAACTGTGCAGCCACCCCCTGGGCATCCCACCCAACTCCGAAGGGTGACGCCAGCTCCCCTAGGCCGCAGAACTGCTTCCCAGAGAGGAAGAGGAAGTCGCGTCCGTGAGAGCGAGTCCCTGCTCGCAGGCTGGCAGTGTGCTCAGCCCTCCCTCCCTGTGTCTGATGGACACGCTAGGAGCAGGCCTAGGCAGCCAAGTGCCCATAGCACCCGGGAGCTCTGCCAAAGGGGGACAAAGGGAAAGACGACGAGACGGCGGGACGGGGTGGGAATCCCAGGGGCTGATGCTTTTACTCTTGCTCTGCTTTCCGCAGCAATTCATTGCTCCCCAAGCCGCCATGGGCAACCCCCGGGGCACCGGGGATACACCCCAGGGTTTGGTTCATGCCCCCTTCCCAGAACACGCTCCTGCCCCACTTGGGCTGCAGAAGGCAGTTTGACTGAGCACAGCTCCGGTGGCGCCGAGTCAAAGATCACAGGCCTTTCCCCTCCTCTCTACCTGCCGCTGGGGCTTCCCCTGGGGAATCAAGGTAAGAGAGTCTCCAGTCTTTGAGTTAAGGAGCCCTGGGACTGGGTTGGGAGACAATTCCACCCCGGCCACCTCCCTCTCTTCCCGCACCCAGCCCTGCCTGTGCAAAGTCCCTGCCTTCCCTGGGAAGTCCCCACAGGAGAGAACTGCAGGATCCTCACCCGCTTTAGAGCGACCTCCCCCCCCTTCTGGACCTGGCGGCATCTGAGACAGCCAGAAGGCTCCCAACAGGGCGCCTTGCCCACCGTGGGGCACCTTTGCCGAGGCCGGTGTGGGTCCGGGAGTGCGTGAGCTAGACTGGCAGAGGCTCTGGCCTGACCTGCCTTCCCCACCTGGAAACGGGCCCCCAAGAAATCCCCGACCACAATCGGAGAAGCCGAGGGCAGGCAGGGACTCGGGAGCTCTTCCCCTCCAGTGGTTCCCAACCTCGGGGGGCTCAGGACCCCTCGCCACCCACTCAACAGCCGCCCCGCAAAGAGCATCTGGCTCACGGAGCACTTCGTTCCCATGCCAGGGAACATACCCACAGAGCCGGCCCGTCCATCGGGTGGACCAGCCCGACTCCGCTGGGCCCTGCGCTTTGCGGGAGAGGGGAGGGGGGCTCGAGGTCCAGGGCAGCCTGGGAGGTTAACGGGGGGGTCTGGCCCCAGCAGCTTTGAGTGACCCAGCCACAGTCTGTCCCCTCTGCTGCCTTTTGGTGTGTCGCTCAGGGGAGGAGGCAGGGGCTTGGTGAAAGGGGCAGAGGGGCAGCAGGGGGGGGTGTCTCAGGTCCCATAGCCCCCTAGGGATGGCCCTGCATACACCTCAATGTAGCGCACACTAGCTGACTACGCCATACATACCACAGCTCCTTTCCCGCGGGGCTGTCATGACCTCTGGGGTCACCAAGCCACTGCGCTTTAGCCGGCCCCTCTGACGGGGTGGGGCTGGCTGGGCCCAATGTCTCTGTGACCTGGTGCATGGGGCCACTGTGCCACTCATTGGTATTCGGCCCTGTGCCATCCCCACGGGGAGACTCCCAGTGCGCCAGGTTGCAGTGCCCAGAGCGGGGAGCTCAGCCCTGGAGGACCAGAGCTGTAGGACCCGCTGCTGTGGGGTGGGCTTGGCAACGCCCCCTGCACCTCCCACGTGACCCTTTGACACACCCTGACGACCCAGT